ATGTTGAGCATTTTTTCATATGTTTTTTGGCCATTATTCTGTCTTCTTTTGAAAAGTTTCTGTTCATGTCCTTTGCCCACTTTTTGATAGGGTCGTTTGATTTTTCTCTTGCTGATTTTCCTGAGTTCTAAATAGATTCTGTTATCGGCCCTTTATCGGATTTGTAGCATGCGAAAATTTTCTCCCATTCTGTAGGTTGTCTGTTTGCTCTTGTGACAGTTTCTTTGTCTGTGCAGAAGCTTTTTAATTTGATCAGGTCCCATTTATTTATTTATCTTTACTAAAAGCACTGAAGCGATTTAAAACAATAAGAGGCTCCATAAATATTGATCTTGAACTTGAACAGTAGTTTGTGACTTCTAGCCCAATCTAGCATTCCACTATAGAGTCATTATGAACAATAGTAGTCCATGACCTCCCTCTGGGTCAGATGCCTTATGGTAGAATCACATAACGAAATAAACCTTGAACAACTCCCTGAACTAGATGCTACCTACACCAACACAGAGTTCCTGTCCCCCATAATACCATCCTTATGCTTGGTCCAGGACCACCCAGTCTGGACATAGACTGCCACTTGAGGCTTCTCATGATTTAATTATCCAACTTAAATCATCATATAACTTCCTCCAACAAAAATTATACATCTTGAATTCTATTTCTTTCCATATTATAGGAGATTGATACACACACATACACACACACATACATTCACACATATACAGAAAAGCTGTGATGAAATCCCTCCTACCAAATTGGCATATAGTTTTGTTTCAAAATATTTGCAATGCATAAATTTCATAAAGTACTCTGACCTTCAATTTAAAATTTAATTCAGTAAAGATTACATTATTCAGAAAAAAACTCATCTTCGAATATTAGTTTAAAACTTAACGAAACATACACAAACAGCTTCATTCCTAGATTCAAGCAAGGCCGATATTTCCAAATATTTCTAATCTCTTCATGGTTGTTCAACCTCAAATACTGTACCTCCTTTCCCGCTGGACTGTATGTATTTAAAAGGTACAGAGATTTATTGGGAAAGAAGACAAGATCGGAACTATTGACGCAATTTTGCTTTGAAAATCTTCCCTTAATACATCTTATGTGTTTTTGAGACAGATGTTTGGAGGACATGTTTTTTAGGGCAGAACCAGCACAAGTATAAAGCTATGCCTGGACAGCTGTTAAGACTTTCTACGCCATCTGCTTACAGGAATGTACACATGACCTTAAAATA